CCCCAAAACCCCAAAACCCCAAAACCCCAAAACCCCTTGGAATTTTATAAAAATTGAAACATGTTTTCTGGGTTTCAGACCAACAGCCAGGAAATTGTCTATAATACACTCCTGTTTAAGATGATCCATGTCCTTCAGCATAGGATTATGTACCAAATTTTCCTCATAATCTAGGCTTTATGAGCAAGGCAAGATTGATCAAAGTGAAGGTATGAGCTTTAGAGTTAACTTTAATTTAGAGAATTCTACGAAATCAAATTTTAAAGGACTCTTTTCAAAAATATTTCTCAAGCTTAAAGGTATGGAGAAGCTCAAATCCTCCCCACCGATGTTCTCGGTGGGGATGACAGACCTAGCAAGTTACTTTGGTGTATTCAGCACAGCGAGATTTAAGCGCAAAGTCAGTGTTTTCATCTAACCTGAAATAGTTTAATAAAAAGGCTTTCTTGTCTGTTGAAAGTGATCATCGTTCGGAAGAGGACTCTTCGCACAGGAATAGTGCCATTTCTACAATGAAAAATCTTGATTCCATTGACCTTTCTCAACGTAATCACATAATCCAGGAAGATCAGGAACTTGAAGAACAAGATGATGCTGAGATCACTCGGAAAAAGACTCCTAGTTTTAAGCAGAAGAAGTCTTCTGCTCTTAAAGGAAAGACTAAGAATACCAGATATTCTTTGAATAGGAACTCACAGAATCAGAAATATTAGAAAACCTTGAGGACTGAAACCGCAACTTAGAGAGCTTGATCAGAGTTGCTGTTAGGGAAAGCCCTAAGAACAAGTGGATTATCGCTCCGAAGGTTGCATCATCCAATAGCTCTCGGCTTTCAAACAATTCTTCCTTGAATACGAGGAACAAGCCTCAGAGGTCACCTCGTGGCAAGAACTTGAGCTATCAGATTAGCAAGAAAACTAAGAATCGTAGGGTGAAGCCTTCTGATGGTAAGTTTAGATGCCTCATAATGTAGCTCAGACTCGTACACACTCTGACTTCAGTGTCTCGTTTCGGAACAAGGGTGACTCTAAGTCTAAGCTATCCCAGAAGTCTCAAAACAAGTTGCGTTCACTGACCAGGCGAAAGGAGATTCTAATAAAGCATTCTAAGTTAAAGGCGCTGGAGCGAAACTCTAACCGATCGGATCGGTCAGGGAATGTCTTGAAACTGCCAAATTTTACATTTGGCAAATAGCAAGCAGAGCAGAGATGATGCGAGTGACCATTCTGATAACCAATTCTCAGTTGATATCTTGTTTGGAGTGACCACTCCTGAGAATGTCAACATTAATTTCCAGAAGAAGAAGATGAGCAACCATTTGAACCGATCTGTTCACATTGATAATATAGAGAAGCTGAACTTGTCCAATAACATCAGACTGTCTTAGGAAGAGATTTGAAAAGATAGAGAGAGCAGTAGAAGAGATTGCCACTATGATGAAGGACCAAAACTTTCTTAATTTTATCTTGAAGGCCTTAAAATTCCAAAGTAGAAAATTCCTCATTTTTTATCACCTTTTGGTGGCATAGGGTCTGGAGATGGCCTTTCAGAGGGAGGCTCGGTAGGGGTCAGTTAGACTTAATAAAGACTTCTTCTTAGTGTTATTTTTACATTAAGATAGGGTATTTGAGTGCATATGAATTTTCAGCTTTCAATATAAAATAATAAAATAGGGGTTTTGGGGTTTTGGGGTTTTGGGG